TTCAAAGGATTTATTAAGTATAACAGTCAACAGTGAAGTCTTCTAACAGTCTTATTCTGTTCAAAAGAAATTCATTACACCATTTAAGAGACCATTAAGGTATGTAATATTTTTTATCTTTAATTTTTTTTTGTATTTTCAATTATCGTAGGTAAGACTACTTATTAACAAATATAAGTAGATCTTTTTTGTATTATTGTATTTATATGTATATTAATGTAAACATTACTATCATTGTTGTATAGCATTGTATGTATTAGCATTTCATTTTTCATTTCATTTCAATTCTTCAATAAATGGAATTTTTATGTTTATTAGAGATTTTGGGATAACACTTAGTCGATTTCACTATTGTTGTGAATGAAATTTTTTGATTATCTTTAGTTCTCTGAATACTGAAACATGAGCCAATTTTTTGAAGCAGTGAAAGAATTCCTGGATACACATTCGTTAATTAATTTTGTGAGCGTGATCGCAGACAGTAACCTTGCAGCCTCCGGAATACGTTTGATAGTATGTATATTTCTTCTCAAACAGATAAATGGATTTGAAATGCAACTTCTTTATTTTCAGGGTCAGACTCTTTCTTGAAATTATTATCGGGATTGGAATTTTCATAGGAACTTGTAGTATTAACTGATTTAGAACGAACTTTTCGCATGTGGATTTTCAATCCTCGTATTCTGAAAATTTTTCCACATATTGAACATTCTGCCTTGCCAGCTGATTGTTTTTTTTCTTCTGTCATCGAATATAGATCAAATTGGTTTGGTTTATCGTGATCGAAGTATTTTAATTACTATGTGACTTTCTTGTATCGTCCAAAATCTTGAATGTCACCCAACGTCAGCCAAGTTGTCAATGGATTTAATTTCAAGAAAAACTTATTTTCATTAGAATCAGCACCAGATTTTTATATACAATTATCCAAAAGGTTTTGTCCCATAAAAATAGTAAAATATCGGTGGAAAATCTATGAATTTTTGGAAAATCAATGGAGAGATGAAAGCACTGACATTACTAGTTTGATTAAACAGAAAAAAATACTGATACAGCATCTCACTCGCTCATCTTTCAGTGTTATTGATTGGTACTGAGTTTGCTCAAACTGCTCTCGTATTTTTTTCTTCGTAATAATTATGTGGGTTACCTGATTTAATTTTCAATTTGTGCTATTCCTTCCAATTTTCCTTTTTCATATAAGAGTACGATTTGAATAAACTTGTTATGATTATTATTATAGCAATGAAAATAAAACGAACCTGCAGAGTGCCATAGTCGGCCGCCACTCTCGGAACATATGTCAGCACACTGCTTCCCCCTGCATCCGATGTAAACTCCGACAACTCTTTGGAAATCCCCGGAGTGCTATTGAAACTCCAACGGAAGGCCGTGGCCATCGGTTCAGCGTCAACCTGGAAAAAGGCAGAGAAATAGGCCAGCAATCAAGTGTTTTTTTGCTGGAATTATGTTGCGATGTTCGTTGCGATTTTCCAGAGTGAGAGCTCTCCATGAAGGTCTCTGAAGAATAATTTTGTTATATCAAACTTATTGTGTGCATTGAGTGCAGCTTAGATCATCACCGTTTGAAGATAGGAAATAAAATCTGAATCATCTCTTGCTTCATAATTAATTTTGAGAAAATAAAATATGAACATGTTTTTTAGGAAAGCAATTCCATGCATCATGAACGAGTGAGTAGTAATAATAATAATTATAAGTCATTCCAGGAATGACAACAGAATGTGAAAGATGAAAAGCTCCAGAAGTCTTGAATCACCCAAATTCGTGGTAATCAGCAGACGAATCTTTTATATTTTTGGCCGACAGAAGCAAAGCGTTAGGTACGAAACCACTTTCATTCCCGGCATACAAAATTACGTTTTCCCTTGAAGAAGGTGTGTTCAAAGCACAATACTTGTCTTGTGTCAAACCAAGTTTCGTCGAGGTAGATTATATGTCTGCTGGATTCTCGATAGCTTTTCATTCGCCTCTAATATTCTTGTAGGAGTTGAACAATGCGTGTCGATTCCATTATGACCATCCGATTGTTCAATTTTTTATATTTGAAACCACAAGACAATAACACACCTCGTAGAGTTTCTAAAGATTCGTGATTGTAATCGGGATAGTCGAGTAGTTTATACCAAATCATTTCCAAAGTTGGTACTTAATTTTTTTGGTATATACCATACATTGTTCGCCGAATCACATCTTTTGTAGCACGTCAACGTTTACGAATTTTTTATTCGTTTGTTTTCGTTTCATTGCATGGTCAATGACATCCCCTATTTTAAAGACTCGAAGAACTGTCGAACGAGATAGTTTCGTTAACTCGCATATTCTATTAACAATAGCATTTTGTGGAGTGTGACAGTTTTCCTTGTTCAAGAATTCATGAATATTTAAAATTACTCGCTGAACTTGAACATGTAAGTCCTTATTTTTAAATGCCAGATCCCTGTCGATTTTCTAGAGATCAATTACCCTAACACCAAACTGATATTTTTGCACTCGACGCGGGTTTCGCTAAGAAGGTTAGCATCTTCAGGAGAAGCAAATTGATACTGAATCTAAAAACAAGGGTTAGCTGTTTATATACCTGAAGTTTTTTGGTCCGATGTGGGTTTGTTTGTTAAATGATGATTATCCTAATTGATTTTTCGTAATTAACTAGTGAAATCATTACCTACAAATCAAATGGTCCGCTTTTTAATCTATTGTTGACAAATTAATTTGCATGTAGTGGTTCCACTACTTTATTAGCGAAAAATCAATTAGGATAATCATCATTTAACAAACAAAGTCCACATTGGACCAAAAAACTTTAGGTATATAAATAGCTAACCCTTGTCTTTAGATTCAGTATCAATTTGCTTCTCCTGAAGAAACGCGCGTCGAGTGCAAAAATATCAGTTTGGTGTTAGAGTAATTGATCTATAGAGAAAGTTTTCAAAAATCGGTTTGCAAAACCACTCACTACCTCACCTAACCCCACGGACACACGGCGCTGATAAAGAAATATTGTGAAACAGACAAAAAATTAGTATTAAGCCAGTCTAGTTAGCCGAGCTTTTATTCCTCAACATTATTTGATAGCACGTTTACTAACTATCTGGGTGACTAGGGGCCGCAGGCAAGAAATGTTTATGACTGTTCTCTTATTTTTATTGCCGTTCCAATTGGGAATGGATAGACTATATAATAGCTGTTTCAATTCCATTACCAATATTTAGAGTGAAAACTGACGGTGAAATTCGATTATAATGATTAATTTGAAAGTAGTCATTTTTTGTCCAGTTTTTATCTGAAAGAAATATCTGTCTCACATCGAACTACTATTAAAAGTTTTAAATAAGAAAGGGAAGTGTTTTCACTTCTACTATACCTACAGGGTTGGAGTGCTGTATATCAAAACCAACTGGGAAGTACTTTTCAATAATAAATCATTGTTTGGGTATATACTCAGCAGTTCACACAAGTTATTCCAACAGTCCTCAATTTCAATGGAAAATGATTTGTTATAAAAATGTTTGAAATTATTTTTATTATTGTAAGAAAAATTGGCTCAACTCTTTTTTCTAATACTTAGTGAATCAAAATTCGAAAATATATTCTGAATTTTTTGAACGGAACACCCTATATTTTATTTCACATTTGATTTTCTCGTGAACAGCTTTTTTGTGATTATAGTTTCATAATTCACTTTGCGATTCGAGTTAGTTACACCATTCAAACATACAAAACCAAATTTAAACACAATTTTTAAACAAAGTAATCCTTTTCAGAAACAGATTTTGAATGATGATACTTTTTCATCGTTGAAAAATGCTTTGACTGAGATGCTGGGTGATTCAATGCTTGATAATCTACCGATTTATCTGAATTTTATTTTACTCTGAAATTTCGTTTTCGAATTTTTTGTCGGAGCATATTTTTGGAAATTATTTTCTTTATCTTTCGAACTGTTAGGTATATATACTCACAAAAATTTTTTTTTGAAAATATATTTTTTTAACAAGAAATAGAGTTTAGAATAAAATATAGTGTTCTATTTGAGAAAACATGTTCACGACAATTCAGGATCATCAAATGATATTTAATTGAGAATGGGGATGGTTGAGTAGATAGTAACTTTTTGATGTTATTTTTTATGTAACTTCTGAACCACTCGGTATAAACCTAAATGATTATATATTTTTCGTAAGAACTTTTCGGATGAAATTCGATTATAGAAAGCAATATGAGAAAAAAATGTAAATTTATTACTCCACGATTCTATTGACTATCCTGTATATTGAAAAATATTTCAGAAAAGTATTGAACTTTCATATAAATAATTTCTGATAACTTCACTCCTTCATCTCAAACTTTTATTGGAAAATTGAAGTAACAAAAACTGTAGGTACATCTTCTGGAAGAGTCTTTGTTGATGTATTCAATTTTTTCTTCCTTTCTTGGAAAGTTCCACATTTTTCATGTAGTGTTACCAAGCCAAAGAGATGATTTCTCTTCTTTTTTTTTAAAATACTCGTATCGTAATAATGATTTTCAACAGAGAAAAACAGTTATGTAAAACACAGGAATAGAAGATCAAACCTCAAAACTATGTAAATGAATGAAAACTCACCCCATTTCAGCTAGTGTGGCTAGATTTCCTTGTCAGATATGTTTTCAAGAGGCGACGTGATTTAAAAACAACCGAGGAAATTCCTAACAGAATTGAAAAATGCAGTATCTACGGCCATTAAGCAAATCAAATGGATATCGGATGTCGGAAGGGCGGTTTTCTCATAATTGAAAAGCCGGAACGCAATTTTGTGATTGTACTTGGATCATTACAGAAATGATGCCTAGGTTTGTAAACGATTAAGTTCGATAATGCCATTAAACTTAATTGAAGTAATATTACAGCTTAGTTTCTTCGAAGAGACGCATGTTCCTCTCAATGTCCTTGGATCGATTTCATAATTTCACTTCCGAGTAAAACGAAATAAGTCGGATTGGCCTTGAAGTCTTCGAATAGGGTAAAATACTTCTTGGAGTAGCTAACAAAACAGAATTTTTAGTAACTAGGCGAAGGTCCCTGATGTGATTATAATAATACCTACTCATAAGATCAAGCCGGCTTGCCGCACGAAGACAGAAATCTTGGCCGGACAAGGGCAGATTGCTGTCATTCTTGGCTTAATGCGTCAGCTAAGGGGACATGATTCTTGGACCCAGTGATCACTTACCTTACGGTGTGGGAAGTGGGCATTGGTTGGTAATGCTGGCGCGCCTTCCCGAATGTGTCAGAGCTTCAAAGATAAGCCCCGACCAGCTTCCCCTCTGCATCTGTATCTATAGAGTAGGGAGGGTAAGTGTAAGCCCACAGCACATAGGCCAAATCTAACCCATTGTAGATCTCGAAGAATTGTCCTCCTTGGTCATCGTCCATTCTGTCCTTTTCAGGAAGGTGGACAGGTCATTTGGAGACATCTCCTTTATATCGGCAGGTGCAGGCCAAGACTCGCCAAACACACTCTCTTATTGACGATAACTCCGGGCACTCGCATAGGACATACCTGATAGTCTCATCTTCCTGTTCACACATCCTGCATAGAGGTGTGTCTTCTAGCTCCATGTTATGGAGGTGTTTCCTTAGTTGACAGTGGTCAGTCAGAAATCATACTGTTAATGGTAGATTTTTCCTGGTCATCACCAGATATTCCTTTAGCGCCAGCTTCTCAGGGTCGTCCAGGGTGATCCTGGCAAGATTGCATCCTTTGATTCCATTCCATCTCTTTAGGGATTGAGCATGGGTGAAACATTTGGCTAGTTCCGCAATTGTCGAAGTCATCAGGCCATAGGTCCCCTTCAGTAGAATATAATAATAATAATACGGGGTCGCAGTCTATATCCATCGACATAACGCAGCACTAGGAGTGCTTCATTACCATCTACGGCACGTTTACGGTATTGAAGAGACACCGGTGTTGCCTTCCGCTCCTTGGAATATTGAATCCGTTGTGGGAATGAGAAGTGACAAATTTACTGAAACTGGAACCATGCATTTCTCACCCTCAGGTTCATACAAGTTGATAATCCTGATGTAGTTCTTCTCAACCATCAGGTCAAGACGATAATCGTCCTGAAGTTTTCAGCTTCTGTTGAGACGAATATCGTCCAAAAATACCACTCTGTTGAGATGGTTGTTTTGATTTTCTGAGTCCTTGGCGAAATGATGCCATCTCTAACCTCGAATCCCAAAATCATGCTGGCTTGCCGCATGGTGACAGACATCTTGGCTGGACAGATGCACAAGGCTGTCATTCTTGGCTCATTGTGTCTGCTTAGGGCACATGATTTTCTAACCCAATGCTCACTTACTCCACGGCGTGAAAAGTGGTCATTGGTTGATATTCATTGTTTG